GTTAGGAAATATATCCACAGTATGTCGTTCACACGAGATATTATGTCATTTGCGATACATTCTACCTCATTTACACACCTTTTATGTCATTAAAAAAAATATATAATATTACATTGCATAACTTCCCGTATTTATTTCCGAAAACTTATCTCATTCATTTTTTTTCATTCACTTTAAAAAATAAAGTTGATCGTATTCAATGCATGCTGAATACTTTGAAAGACATGTTTACCATTGAAATCCAGAACATCCCGCTGTTATTTAGCTACTTGTATGAATGTCTATAATCAGTCAAATATCCAAATATGAAACGAATGGAAGACATTCATTAAGGGAGAATAACCAATAGTAGCCATTTTGCGATTTTCAATATGTGCTGAGAACACAAAAGGCTTAAAAGATAGAAATATGCATGTAAATGTAATGCTGTTTTATTGCATTTTAATTGCGCTTTCGTCCAAAGTTGATCAAAAAGGGCATAAATAAGAATTAAACATTGAAGTTTAAACCTTGACATCAATCACCTGTTATAAATTGTGTATCTGTTGGAAAAGGGGTCATTTTCCAACGGGGGTCATTTTTTTATAGGACCCACATATAAAGATATGACCCCTAGGGCTCTTTTTCTACAAAAAAATATTTTTTTCTACGGCTGGGGGGTCATTTTTTGTCGTTGAAAAATGACCTCCCGGTCATTATTCTATGGGGGTCATTATTCGTCTTTACACCGGCCCCTAAATACTTCTTTTGCTAATATCTCGGAAATGAAAAAGAATTTCTGAATAGTTGTTGAACAAAAAGTGTTCAAAATCATAAGAGCTTTAAAATGGTATGAAGAAAAAAGGGCTGACTCCTCAAAATAGGGGCCGAGAGGGGCCGAAAGTCTTTAATCAATAACTCGTTAACGATCAATATTTTGTAATGCATTACTGAAGCAAACATGTTTATCTCAACAATTTACAACTATATATTATAATATTCACATCATATGTTACATAATTAGGGGCCACAAGGGGTCAGAATGCAAAATCTTGAACGCTCTATATTTCAAAAGTGTGAAATATTTTTATTGCAATACTGAACGAAAGATGTTCAAAACAATGTTCTGAACAATATGCAACCTTTTATTTTTTGCTTAACGTCCCCAATAAGGAGTTAAAGGGCCGGCCCCTAAATGCTTCTTTTGCAAATATCTGGGAAACGAAAAAGAATTTCTGAATAGTTGTTGAACAAAAAATGTTCAAAATCATAAGAGCTTTAAAGTGATATGAAGAAAAAGGGACTGGCCCCTCAAAATAGGGGCTGAGAGGGGCCGATAGTCTTTGATGAATAACTCTTTAATGCTCAATATTTTGTAATTCATTACTGAAGCAAACATGTTTATCTCAACAATTTACAACTATATATTATAATATTCACATCAAATGTTACATAATTAGGGGCCACAAGGGGCCAGAATGACAAATCTTTGGCACTCTATATCCCGAAATTGGAAAATATTTTGATAAGCAGTGTTGAATAAAAGATGTTCAAAATAAGGTTTTAAACAATATGTAACCTTTTCATTTTTGCTAAACGCCCCCACTAAGGAGTTGAAGGGCCAGCCCCTAAATATTTCTTTTGCATATATCTCAGAAGCGAAGAAGAATTTCAGAATAGTTGTTGAACAAAAATGTTCAAAATCATGAGAGCTATAAGAAGATACCAAGAAAAAAGGACTGGCCCCTCAAAATAGGGGCCAGGACGGGCCAAAAGTCTTTAATCTATAACTCTTTAATGATCAATATTTTAATACACACTACTGAAGCAAAGTTTTCATCTTAACAATTTATTTTTATCATCATATTTGAACAAAAATCTCAGTCAAATTCTGATCTCATCTTATCAAAAATCGGACAGAAGACTCACTCGTTGCTCGCAACGAGATTGCATCTAGTTGTTATTATAATCGATATTATGTGCCTACATCACTGCACTTATTATCACCTAACAGATTTTAATTCTGCTTAAAGATTTTTTTTTAGGTTTTTTTTTTTTGTAGTTTGTTTGTGAATGTAATTTGTGTGTAAATCACACTGATGTTTCTCAAATACTTTTTTATACTGCATGATTGTCAAATATAAAGGTACATATTGTCGTTCTGTTGATATTGTCACCGGCAACAATGTAGCTACCCTTACTGCACATATTGTCGTCCATCAGTACATGTCGCATGACGATACATGACAGTGCTTCTGTAGAAATATGACTAATCATTGTTTTGCTGTTCTTGAGAAGAAGATTATTGAAGAGTTTTCCTATAAATTCCTATGTAAAACTTAAATAGCTCATTGTGGTGTCACCATAGCCCCAGTGTTCATGATTTGAAGAAACCTGAATCTATACTGCCTGAGGATGCTTCCATGTAAACATGACTAGTTATGAGCTTGCTGTTCTTTAGAAAAGTTTTAAAGATTTTCTGTATTTATTCCTGTGTAAAACTTTGATTGCCCATTGTGGCCCAGCCCTACCCTTCGGGGTCATGATCTGAACAAACTTGGGGATCATTGTTTTACATAGGAATATATTGGAAAAAAAATATTTAAAAATCGAACTATAAGACCTACTTACACAGAACTTGCATGAATATTGTTTTCAGGATGCACACTAACTATAAAGAAAACATGATGTGAGATTTGCATTACCTATACTGATAACATTCGTCAAGGTGAGCTTGCAGGTAATCTTCGATTACATATTAAGAATATATTTTTTAAAAAAATCTGATGATGAAAAAGAACATGGTGGTATTGACTCAGGTGAGCGTTATGGCCCATTGACCTCTTGTAAGTCTAATTTAAAAAAAATTAAAATAAAATCTTATTTTCACCTGGAAGGTCCCTGCAGGTGAACATAACATGGTATTTTTTTTCTACAATATTGGATCTCAGGCTATCATAGAGCTAGGAATTATTCAATCATTTAAATAATTACAAATTGCAATGATTTTGCATGAAGGAAAATATCTGCCATCTTGTAAATATATATTCGAGTGGTAAATATACTTCAATTAGAGTGATCTGCCCCTTACTGAATTCCAATCCGGAATTTGAAGCTATCAAAATCTGGATTAAATTAAATTTGCTAAAACAGCATGTATGAAAAATATCATGGGGACTAAAACTTTTTATAAAGAACAGTAGACTTGTAGAAAATTTTTATTTAATAATATTTTTTGTTTTTAAATGTTGACCACTAAAATGTCACAGCAATGATCATGCAAAGCAGTTTTTAATTTATGTCTTTTGACCTTTTTTTAATCAATCAACCAACCTCAAATACCTATTAAATGGACAAAAAAAATTGTTGTAAACCAACAGTTACTGTAAAGATAATTAATTCCCCATAAATCGTCAATACGGCAAGGTACAGGTATATACACCTTGAAAAGTGTAAATGATGAAGCTAATTGTGATGATACTAATTGTTAGGGCATTATTTACACACTGAATTGTTGGTGGATTTTTCTGTTATTTCCCAATCATGACAAGGAGGCACACAGGGGGTGTGACCGGTCGGCAAGAGATGCTCACTCCTCCATGGCACCTGATCCCACCTCTGATGTTTTTGGAGGTCCATGTTTGCTCTACTCTCGATTTGTATTGTTTGAATGGACTTTTAGCTTGAATACTGTTCGTTATCTCCATATTTCACAGAGTTCATACTTAGAAGCTGCATTGGCCACATATTGCCGTTATATTTGTTGCTCCAGTGAAGTATAAAACTGTTACAAATCTTGTAATTCTTAAAAATAAAATGAAAAACCTTAAGGGGGACCTACCCTCTGATAAGAGAGATAACTTTCAGAGTATAAAATATGATTACTACTCGTACTTTTCATAATCAGAGTTTCCTTATCAAAACCTTGGAGTAGTCAATATGATCTAACCTGACATTTGTTGGAAACATTGCCTTCTATTTCCTTTGCCTATACTTTTCAAATTGTTTTATTATATTTAACAAAAAAACCCATTTCAAATCAGTTTTAAAAGCCCTATAAATTGAATAAGTTCTATCTTTTTAAGGACCATTTTGAAAATGGTTTAATGTTTCAAGTACCGGATATAGAATTTTTATTAGTATTACATTTTTTTCCAAGAAAAAAATATAAGAAAGATAACTCTTGCTAACAGACGTATTCATTTCTTACAACTACATGCAACATTGTGATATTCTGACATAGGAAGCAGCGCTTTATTATGTTTTCTAATATGAATTTAATAGGTATGATACTAAATATTATTTTTATACACACCTCATGTTTTTAATTTTATGTTGTGATAATAAATCATTACTCTTTCTATCCTCTGTGTTAAAATTTCTTCATATCATGATCCGACATAAAAATCATTTCTGAAAAAATAAGCAGGGCTTCATACCTCATACTGTTTTCCATTTGAAGCTGATGCTATAGCTCTTGATGAAAATTAATGTTGGGAAGTTTAAAAAAACAATTGTGAAATTTAGAGCAGAGGGTCATTAGTCCTGAATATAATATAGAACAGTTGTGAATATTAATTGTCGTCATCATTGGTCAGGCCCGTAGGAAGCAATTTCAGTTTCAATTTCCAAAAGTTCCTTGACAAGCAAAAAAAAAAAAAAAAAAAAAAGGTCATCAAATGTTATCATTGAGGGGGCACAAGGATATAGTAGCTATGTTTATTATAGTATTCTAGATATTGGCAAAATTATACTCCCCCCCCCCCCCCAGTTCCTACAGCCATGTTGGTGATATAAGAATAAAAAAATGTTGCAAATAATAATTAGTTTACAGTGATCTTGTTAAAAATCATGGACTTTAAGGTTAATATTATGACTTAAAATAATCTATTTGTGGCAAAAGTGAGTATTGTGGCCCATGGACCTTTCATTAATGTGGTTATATATGTTATTATTTGTAACTTTTTTGTTTTTGAGGATGACATCATCATAATATTAATTATTTTTATTATTTTTTTTAGGAGATTATGGCTGATTGTTTTTTGGTCTTGCCACCATTGACAAGGGACAAAGCTGTCATTCTTGGGAAAAACTCTCAAAGACCAGCAACAGAAGTTCAGGAAGTGATTTACAAGACAGCTAAAATAAATTCAGATGGTGCAAAAGTTCAGGTAAAATGTGTAAAGATCACACGATTCAGGAGGAGTATGCACAGAATTCAAGCTGTTCAAAAGTTTTGATAAATCTGAAAAGGTGGCTAACCTACCTGGGTGACCCTGATTGGCTTCACCCAAAGAAACACATCCCAAATTCATTTTTTATTCCTGTCATATTTGCTTCAACTACCCCCTCTTTAGAAAATTTCTAGATGGCATTTTTGCAATCTCTTGAAGTTACAAGCACCCTTTGATAATTACAGCAATTCTAGTTTTACCATGTTCTTTGATTTGCGCATGGTGTTTGTGTTGCTAACACAAAGGATTATTTCATATACAGTCTATTTTGTGGTGTTAATTGTGAATTAATTATTTCTTAAAATAAAAGAGGATTTAGAGAGAGAGGAAAATATGACAGGTGGACGGGTGTACCAGGATAACAACAATATGCCTGCACTTTCTTTAGAAAGTGCAGGTGTAAATATAGAGTTGAACTTCGGTATCTCAAACACAGTACTCGTATCTCAAATACCATTGATATGTCGAAGTGATGTGGAAGTCCCAACCACTTAATTTCTTTAAGTATTTTATCCTCGATATCTTGAATCATTGGATATCTCGAAGTTTTTTCCTCTGTCCCATGGAGTAAAATAATGAGGTTTGAGGTTTTTAGCTCACCTGAGCTGAAAGCTTAAGTGAGCTTTTCTGATCACCCTTTGTCCGTCTGTCTAGCTGTCCATCCGTCCGTCTGTAAACTTTTCACATTTTCAAAATTTAACTATTTCCAAATTTAACTAAACTTGGTACAAAGCATTTTAGGGTGAAGGAGAGTTTAAATTTTTAAAATGGAGGGCCAAGCCCCCTTACAAGGGGAGATAATCAAGAAAAGACAAAAATAGGGTGGGTTCATCAAAAAATCTTCTTCTCAAGAACCACTGGGCCAGAAAAGTCGAAACTACTGTATAAGCATTCAGGGGTAGTGTAGCTTCTAACTTGTTAAAATCATGACCCCCTGGGGAATCCAAGTTTTACATTGAAATATAAAGAAAAAATCTTTAAAAATCTTCTCAGGAACCACTGTGCCAGAAAAGCTGAAACTTATGTGGAAGCATCCTGGGGTAGTGTAAATTCTAAATTGTTAAAATTATGATCCCCAGGGTTAGGGCGGGGCAACAATAGGGAATGCAATTTTTATATTGAAATATAGAGAAAAAATCTTTAAATATCTTTTCTGAAGAACCACTAGGCAAGAAAAGCTGAAACTTATGTAGAAGCATCCTTGGGTAGTGTAAACTCTAAGTTGTTAAAATCACAACCCCCGGGGGTAGGGTGTGGCCACAATAGGGAATCCAATTTTTAAATTGAAATATATAGAAAAAATCTTTAAAAATCTTCTTCTTCAGAACAACTGGGCCAGAAAAGCTGAAACTTATGTGGAAGCATCCTGGAGGTAGTGAAGATTTTAAATTGTTGAAATCATGACCCCTGGGGGTAGGGTGGGGCCACAATAGGGAATCCAATTTTTACATTGAAATATATAGGAAAAATCTTAAAAATCTTCTTCCCTGGAAACCACTGAGTCAGAATAGCTGAAACTTATATGGAAGCACCCTAGGGTAGTGTAGATTGTATATTATTCAAATCATGACCCCGGGGGTAGGATGTGGCCACAATAGGGAATCAGATGTTTACAATGAAATATATTGGGGAAATCTTTAAAAATCTTCCTCTCAAAAACCACCGGCCAGAAATTTTGAAACTTATGTGGAAGCATCCTGGGGTAGTGTAAATTCTAAATTGTTAAAATCATGACTCCCAGGGGGTAGGGTTGGGCCCAGTGATGATTCTTTTCCGATATTTAGCGGAATTCCGCTAATTTGAAAGAATCCGATATTTATGAGTGCTTTCTGATATTTCAATACTTTCAATTTTTGCAGTGATCCATTTCCATTTTTGTCTGGATAAAAAATTCAAGTTGTTTCGTCCGTGTTTTGATCTAATCTGCATCATCAGACGTTTTCTTATATCTCCAAGTAAGGTAAACACAAAAGCAGGGATGACTGAGACTTCCTTACAATGGCGTGGCTGTTCATTCAGCCAGGTCAAGATGTAAAAGTTGTTGAACAAACTGTTACACTTCAATTTTTGTCCCTCATTTAAACCTTTTTTGGGCTTGCTAAAGCCCATATTTTGTCAGCCCCTCGACTTTCAAACTATTTTAGATATTTTGGCCAATTCACAGAATCATCACTGTGGGCCACAATAAGTATTATTACAAGGGAAAAATCTGGTGAAGAACAGCAGGGCCAAAGTAACTCAGGTGAGCATTGTGGCCCATGGGCCTCTTGTTTATTAAGGGTTGGCAATGAGTAACTGTTACTTGAAAAATCAGTATTTGATTATGTATAAGAAAAAATTATGCATGATTTAATACAAACCAATATGTAGCTGACAGTTATGGTTTACATGTACTCCAGCATGCTAGTGGTTCATGGCAAGATACTTATTTATTGTATAGGAACATTAACTGAGGGTCTTATTTATAGGATTGGGATTGTACATGCCATTGCGAATGGTCAAGAACATGAAAATCAAAAATTATGAAATGTATTACATTTGATATTGATAATCAATAGGTTCCATTGAATTAAAATTGAATGTTGACATGTATTTATAAAAAATATTTGAGTTTTATATTTTTTCTTTTCACTCTATAATAAGAACAAGATGCGATTGTGAAGATAGGTACATGTAGGCTAATATTTTGAATTTTTACTTGAATAATAACCAAGTATTTAATCAGAAAGGCAGGTGAGTGACCAGTTACTAAGTCTCATCTGAGCCAGGACTTATGCATACAGGGTTATTTTTGTCCTTTCACACTTTCAACCATTTTGCCCCATTTCAAATTCTCCCAAACAAAGTTTTGTAAAAGAGATAATGCTGTCTCCTTTTTAAATTTGCACCATTTTTAATTTTCTCACTTCTCCACTTCAAGGGATAAAATCTTCCCTGTATACAGTAGATAAAAGATATATATTCTTTGTTGTGTAGGATACATACATAAAATTTTACATGTATGACAAATTTCAAGAGTCCAGTACCTTTAAAGAGTAAAGGAACCATGTGGGGGACGTCTCAAAATGAGCACTAGTTTGTTTTTGAAGCACTTTTAGTATTGATTATGTTCTTTTTTAAAACAGTGCACATACATTGAGGTAGATCAGGTCAAAAAGACAAATGCTGTGATCATCAGTAAGCCTGCATGGATGTGGGGGGCAGAAATGGGCTCCAATGACCAGGGAGTATCTGTTGCCATGGCACCCATCTGGACTAAAGTGAATGGGCCAAGTGACCTTGAGGAGAGATTACTAGGTCAGGACCTGACAAGGTATCTGTTGGAGGGTGTCATCTTTAATTTTTGGGAAACTTCTAAAATAAAAATTTAAAAAACTTGTTTGGAATTTATCTAATTGGTTGATATGATCAACGTGGTTTTTTTTTTCACTTCAGAATATATCATCACACTTGTATACCGGTATTGAATTCAAAGGTCTAATGACTGTTCTAAATTTTATCCCAAAAATGGTAAAAAATTCTAAACATTGACGTTCATCAACAAAGCAGTAGTTTCAATTCCAAGGTGCAAAAAGAGCACCCATCCACTAATCCTGGACATGCGAAATTTGACTGAGAAAAAGTGGATGTCATAATCTGCTTGTTTCTGGTGATGAGTAAAATTTTTGGCATGATAATTTTCTTCTGTTTATATCCAGTGATAATGTCAAGAAAATGAAACAGTCTCCATAATTGACAAGAGACTAAGACTGAATAAAGAAATATCATATGTACATCAGACACAGTTTGAAAAGATAAAGAAATCTAAAACATGTTTTAATCACTTTATTTGAGACATATTATGTTATGGTGTTCATGTCTGTTTGTTTGTCAGCTTTATTATTTCTGGCTCATTACTTTAATACTATGAGGCCTAGAATTATCAAACTTTGTCTGCTGATATGTCTTGGGTTAAAATCTAGCCTCCATTTGCAATTGATAGTTTGCGTGAGATTAAATAGTTCTTGTTGGCTAGCCATTACTTTCAAAATTAATTTGGTGTAAAGTAATTAAAACTAATTTGATATATATTTTTTATTTTAATTTTTATATACATCAAATTGCAGAGAGTGTCATGTCTCACTAAGATGACAATTTTATAGTCTAAAGGATAAACATAATAGTTAGTGTTTTTGATGTTTTATTAGGCTGTAGCATTATAACCATTCATAAAAAATACAATGAACAAAGCTGCAGATGGGCATTTGTAAAACTTTACACAACAAGCTGAGAAATATGATGTATTATTTGTTCTAATTAATACCTACACCACAGGAGATGCACATTAAACATCAGGATTGGAAAAATAATTGAAATCTTTCTATCAAGGTTGAGATGATTTCCTTCTTTGCACTCTAAACCATTTATGGTTACAGTAATTGAACAATATTTAACAGGCATATCATATTCTTTGTGAACTTTTGAACTGTTGGTGCAAGAGCTTTCAAACTTTTCATGTATATTCCTTGTGATAAGGCCTTTCCTTGGGTTCAAATATTATTTACCTCTTTGACTTTTGAGTTTGACCCACTTTTGAAAATCTTTAACCTTGGCCAAAAGTTTATAAAGGTTGGAGCTAGGGCTTTCATATTACACATAGGTATTCCTTGTGTCAAGGTCTTTCCATGGGTTCCAACAATTTTGACCCTTTTATTAGCTCTTCTGAGCCAAAGGCTCAAAGGGCTAATGCTATGGCCATTTGTGCAGTGTGCGTAAACTTTTTAGAATATGGGCCATAACTCAAGAACCCCTTGGCCAATTAGTGTCAAATTTTACGCAGGGTATCCTTGGCCCAAGGGCTCCCATTTGTACTAAAACTAGAGTTGTGACCCTTAAACAAGGGGAGATAATTAGGAAAATAGAAACAAAAGTACTGGTTGCTAAAAAATCTTCTTCTCAAGAACCACTGGGCAGATTATCACCAAACTTACACAAAAGGATGAGGATATGTTGTAGATTAAAATTTGCATGGGGATTTACCCTGGGGCAAAGGGCATGGTCTCAAGGTCACTTCAAAGTTGACCAAATATTACATTTTATAAAAATGTTGATATTTTGCTTACTATAAGGACTAGGATCATCAAGTCTTGTCAGTTGATGCACCTAAGGACCTCATATCATATTGACTCAAAAGTAGGTCATGGTGACCTATTTTTTAGCTCCCTCGATGAAGTCGAGATGAGCTTATGCTATACCGTCGGCGTTAGCGTCGGCGTCCCGGTTAAAGTCTTAAGAGCAAGTCCCATTCCCAAGTAACTATAAGCCCTACCTGGACCAAACTTGCATGTATGATGCATCTAGGGATGGAAGCTACTACACTTGCTTCAGATGCGGGATCTGACCTGGATTTTCCAGATGAGTGACCAGGTTAAAGTTTTTGGAGCAGATCCATTCCCAAGTAACTATAAGCCCTACCTGGACCAAACTTGCATGTATGATGCATCTAGGGATGGAAACTACCACACTTGCTTCGGATGCTGGATCTGACCTAGATTTTCCAGATGAGTGACCAGGTTAAAGTTTTTGGAGCAGGTCCATTCCCAAGTAACTATAAGCCCTACCTGGACCAAACTTGCATGTATGATGCATCTAGGGATGGAAACTACCACACTTGCTTCTGATGCTGGATCTGACCTCGATTTTCCAGATGAGTGACCAGTAGGGCTGTCACGAGTACCCGAAATAACTGAGAACCGCGGTCCAAGTTGTTCGGTTCGGTTCCGGTTCCATTTTTCCGGATTTCGGTTCGGATCTGGTTTATATATTAGAGTCTGTTCAATACAAAAAATGGCATCGAAATCAAAGGAATGATGACGATAACAGTGATAAATAAACATCACAACTGAAATCTACTTCATTCCATGACAAAACACTTGTCACGGAAGTATTAGATAATTATCAAAACGAGCAGGAATGGTCAGGTTGTGGGTAATAGTAGGCCAAGTCACCGATGTCTAGACGACTTGTTTTCAATGTAAATTTAATGTAACAAATAAAGATTTTTCAAGTTAAATTCATGAAATTAAGGTTTAAAATAGATGTAAATACCCGACCCAAAAAACCCAAAACCGAACCGAAAATTTACAGAACCGACTCGACCCGAAAAATTTTGGAACCGTGACAGCCCTAGTGACCAGGTTAAAGTTTTTGTAGCAGGTCAGTTCCCAGGTAACTATAAGCCTTACCTTGATCAAACTTGCATGGATGATACATCTAGGGGTGGACACTACACACTTGCTTCGGATGCTTGATCTGAGCTAGATTTCCACATGTGAGACCAGGTTTAGATTTTGGAGCAATCCCATTCCCAAGTAACTGTAAGCTCTACCTGGACCAAACTTTCATGTATGATGCATCTAGGGATGTACACTAACCAACCTGCTTCGGATGCTGGATCTGATCTAGATTTTCTACATGAGTGAATTTTAGCCATATTTTAACCAAATTAGCATGGATGATATATCTAGGGATGGACACTTCCAGACTTGCTTTGGATTCTGAATCTGACCTACATTTTACAGATGAGTGACCAGGGTAATTTTTTTTTTAGAGAAGCCATATGATATTATGGCCTGTTATGATTAAACTTGCATAGATGGTGCATCTAAGGATGAAATGTCCAGACTTGCTTTAGATGTTGGAACTGACCACAATTATTTGATTACTTAACAGGTTAAAAGTTATTTGAGCAGGTCTATTTCCAAGTAACTACAAGTCCTACTTAAACCAAACTTGCATGGATAACTAGAAAAAAAAATATTATATGAAATTTGCCTTACTTATAGATAACATTCGTCGAGGTGAGCTTCGTAATCTTTGTTTACCTATGTTTAAATTTTGCGGCCATTCTTTTTCAAAATGATTTAGAGGCATATTTTGACCAATTTAAGGCCTATGATCATCAAACTTTGTCAGTTGATGTATCTTGGGTCCTTGGAGTATGTCGATGAAAAAGTAGGTCACCTTGACCTACTTTCTGAATTTTATGGCTAATCTTTTTCAAAACAATTAAGGTCATTAATTCAAATACTGAGAGGTTTAGAATCATTAAATCTTGTGAGATGATGCATCTTGGTGCCATAATACTATTTATTAAATGTAGGTCACAGTGATCTACTTTTTAAACTTTGCAGGCATTCCATTTCAAAGCATTTTAGAGGCATAATTTGGACATTTTAAGGCCTATGATCATAAAACTTTGTAAGTTAATGCATCTTGGGTCCCCAAAAAACGTCAACTGAAAAGTAAGTCACAGTGACCTACTTTTCAATTTATATGACTATAGTTAAATATTTCAGGTACTAATTGGCTTAGAATCATCAAACTTTGTCAGTTGATGCATCTTGGGTCCTCGGAGTACAACAACTGAAAACTTGGTCACCGTGACCTACTTTTGAAAATTTATGGCTGTATTTAATATTTTCAGTACTCTTTGGCTAAGAATCATCAAAATTTGTCAGTTGATGCATCTTGGGTCCTCGAAGTAGGTCGACTACAAAGTAGGTCACTGTGACCTACTTTTCAATTAATATGAGTATAATTAAATATTTCGGGTACTAATTGGCTAAGAATCATCAAACTTTGTCAGTTTATGCATCTTGGGTCTTCAGAGTTAGTCGACTGAAAACGAGGTCACCATGACCTACTTTTGAAAATTTATGGCTTTAATTAAATATTTCAGGAACTAATTTGCTTAGAATCATCAAACTTTGTCAGTTGATGCATCTTGGATCCTTGGAGTACGACAACTAAAAAGTAGGTCACCCTGACCTACTTTTGAAATTTTATGCCTGTATTTAATATTTTCGGGTAGTATTTGGCTTAGAATCATCAAAATTTGTCAGTTAATATATCTTGGGTCCTCACAGTAGGTCGACTGAAAAGTAGGTCACCGTTTTCAATTTATTTGACAATAATTAATTATTTTGGGAATTTATTGGCTAAGAATCATCAAACTTTGTCAGTTGATGCATCTTGGGTCTTCGGAGTAGGTCGACTGAAAAGTAGGTCACCATGACCTACTTTTAAAAATTTATGACTTTTATTAAATATTTCTAGAACTAATTGGCTTAGAATCATCAAACTTTGTCAGTTGATGCATCTTGGGTCCATAGAGTTAGTCTACTGAAAAGGAGGTCACTGTGACCTATTTTGGAAATTTTATGGCTTTATTTAAATATATCAGGTACTTATTGGCTAAGAATCACCAAACTTTGTCAGTGGATGCAACTTGGGTCTTCAAAGTATATCATCTGAAAAGTAGGTCACTGTGAC